TCACATCCTCAACAAGATCAGTCGTCACTGATAGCGTGTGCGGAGCGCGACGCTTGTGCTCATCGGGCCTAGGATGTACATCTCTCGATGCCGCGGACGCACTGTGCGACATTGCACCGCGTGCAAGAGACGAAGTTGGGCGCTGCCCGTGTGCGCTGTCAAAACCAGCAAGCCTTGGTGACTTAAACTCGTTGACACAGGGCTCATTGAGCGCGGAAGTTGTTTTGCTCCAACGAACGAAGTTGAAGTGTCTAGCGGACACGCGAGCCTCGTTAAGGCAATAATCGATTGGAACTGTAAATGTTTTCAATCTTAATGGTGGATAGTGTAACGGGGTTACACATACCCTGGTAACAGGGGTGTGTGTCACACGAGAAGAGCATGGTGTGACTGCACCCAAATAAGAGTACGTTTCGTGGCTGGGGAGCCAGTATTTATACATGTATTTAGATTTACTTTTAATATTGAGGAACATCTATACATTAAAAAATTTGGCGGCTTTGCCGCAGATATAAAAATAAATAAAAAAGTGTTAATTAGCCTTAGGCTAAGGCAATAATTACTCTTGGTTTAAGCGGATTGCGATCCGCTTACTCGTACTGGTTTAAGTATAGAACAAAAGGTCGGTGACCTAACTTACGCTCCCTCAAAGCGGAAAGCTACGGTAGCCCCGGTGCAATATATGCTCTAGTGAAGTTTCGTGTTCACCTCTTGTGTTCAACTCCGTTTATTGTCTACACGAATCAAGCCAGCTTGCGTTGTGCAGACAGTCGCCTTTATTATCGTAGCGAATGGCTCGCTGGCTGTTATTTATCGCAGTAAACTATCTCACGGTCGCGTACAAGCCAGGGAGACTGAACGTGGTGGCAGACGCATTGTCACGTCGTCTTGATTGTGAGCTAGCTCATATCAGCTATATCGAGAGCGATATATCCGATATGATACGCTGAGGGTATGTTGACCATGAACAGCATGATCTGATCATCAAAGCACTGTCATCAAGTGACACGGAATTCTATGACAAGCTTCCTGGTCGCTTAAAAAATGGTTGCATTGTTATGCATGAAAGGATGATCTCCTTCACTATAAGGTTGCACGTGACGACGAGGCACAAATTGTGGTTCCCTACAACGATGATTTGAAGTACACGATGGTACACGATGGTACACGAGGCACATGATACGCCGATGGCGGGTCGTTTTAGCCGTGAGAAAACCAACAGATTTCTTAGCGCCCAATTTTGGTTGACACAGGAATCTCATATCGATTTAAGGACAGCGAGATGAATTACACCAGCGAGAAAGTAAATTCAGTTTCGAATCAAGCTTACAGGGAGTGAGACTTGCGGGATAGATGTACTTGTCGCCATTTCGATTGATGGTACGGCATCGATGACCACTTGCTTTAACGGAGTTTCTGTTCAAAAACGGGTACAACTATCGTGTGTTGTCCGAGCGTATGGCTTATTTAGGTTAATTGTAGCCAGAGTTCGAACTTTCGGCTGAGTCCTGAATTATATTTTGATGATCGACAGCGTTATCTCGCTTATTCAGGCTGGTATCAGATGTTTTAGATGGTCGGCAAAGGAAAGTCGATAAAGATGACAGATTTACCCGATAAAGCTAAAACAAAGCATCTTTTCTTTCGTGTCAAAAAGAAACCCGAAGTTTCTTACCATGCAACTCAACGTATTCGGACGGATAGCAGACCTTGCTAAAGTAAACAGTGTATCCCCGATATCTTACGTGTCCATGAACGTACGTAGGAACAATAAAAAAAGGTCTGACGCTTCTGTGAATGAGCCATTTTGGTCGGGAACGCTTTATAAATGCCTATAAAGCTGACAAAGCGCACTTTGTAATACTCGAAATATTGTTGGACTGTGACGCTCATGCTACAAACATTAAATATAAGTTTCCCATGCTCGCCAACGGAGTATCAAATACAAATGGGATACATTGGTGCGCGTACCCTTGAGCTTCGTGTGGGTGAACATGATACTTTGATCAGGCCGCAGGCTGGCTAACGGAAGGCAGTGAGCTGATAAATGCATTCTGCTTGTACTCGTAATCGGACGAGCCGCCAAAATCCACAATTTTTCGCGACCACTGGCGCAGGAACTGCAACAAAAGCAGAATATTGGCGGACCTAATTCGTTTAAACATTAACAAAAAATAGACTAATATTTTATGATTTAGTGTCCAGCGTGGCGATGATGTCTGACTGGCGTTGGTGTCATTTCGGCCGAACCAAACGTAGTTGTGTCACAAATTTTGACGGTAAGCATGACGCTGGTTGTGGTGGCAATTCGTTTATTTGTCAAAGCAACTGCCATGATCACAGAAATGGCCTGACAGGTGATGCCAAATTCGCGGCTAGATGCAGCTCGGTAGATCGGAAGTGGTGAGGGTAAAATCTACCTGCAGCATTTTTCAGTGGGCTAAAAGGCAATTGCAGGATCAATGCGACCAGTGAGAAGAATTCGCCACAGTGCAAGGTGTCTCGGTGTATCAGAGGAAGCTGGCCTATAAGATCGAAACAAATTCCTAGCTCAGTTAAAACTACGCGAATGACTGACTGACTGCGTCTAAAGTACAATCGAAAACACTGAAGAGGTTCTCGCATAAAGCCACGAGGAATCTACCTGTAAGCTACGTAACACACAGTTTGCTGAAGTACACGGTTTTTGCAACTGCAGTCCTTAGCTACGGTATTCACACTCGCAAACCTCCTAAAAGGTGTCTCTTATGCTCTCTGAATTGAATGCGCTAAGCACAAGAAATCAGGAAATGAAAGCGAAAGTCGTAGAAAGGTGCGGTAGTCTATGCAGGGCGGGGACATGTGTGCGACGTACAAGTCGGTAGCAGCAATCACCATGAAAGTAAAGCTGTCACGAAACGAGGTCTCCAAGTCTTTGTATGTAGGCGCGACAAACGGGTTCAAGGCGGCCGAAGCAAAATCAAAGGCGTAGGACGACAAACAAACTGGAAACGTAGTCAAGAAGGGTGACTTTTTTTGCACAACTGTGGCTTCGGTGCAGTTATATGTTGTGATTTTCACGTTATTACTAGATCGATACTTCACTCCAGCGTCTCAATCGCTTCTTTCTGACTAAAACAGTCTGGACGTCGTCTAATGATCTTTTACTGCTTCTTGGTCCAGCTATGGTCATGCAAAGTTTTCGTCGTCTTGACGCGAACTTTCATCCTATGTCCCCCTTAGCCTTCATTAGATTTATCACCATCTTCGATTCGTAGTTCACATTCATTTTGGTCAGTATCTTAGGTGGGACTTTGTACATCATTTTCGATTTGTCGCATTAATTTCCTAATATTTTTGGTTTGTAAACAAAATGCTTCGCCTCCACCGTCAATTGCGCATAACATCATGCGGTCGCTTGCAACAGGTGAATTGCTATGTTAACTTTTCCGTGGCCTCATCTACAGCTCCATCGGCGACTGTCACCGCTGCGCTAAATTCCGATGGATCGAAGTCAAGCGTTAGTGTCAACGGCAGTGGTGAGGAGCCACCCAAGTACAAGCCTGGATGGTTCAGTCGCAACCCGGGCGTGACGTTAGGTGGCATTCTGCTCGGAATTAGTGCCTATATATACCGGGGTTCATGCGGTAAGAATAACTTTGAGTCATTACGAATTCCTATTGAAGAGGCAGCTGTCATTTCACCGTACGAAGCTTGGGAGCTGCGATCCAGCAATAACATTACGTAGGATCCATTATTCTAGATTACTTAATGGGAAGTACTAGTACTAATACGATTTTTACCTTCTGACATAGACCGGAAGTGTTTGAGGATGTGAGAAATGGCGTGACAAAAGCTTTCCCTTCGGGCAAGGCCTCAATGCAGCACTTTGATCAATATTTGGGTTTCAAACTAGCTCAGGTTTGTCCGACTGGAATGAAGAAGGGCTACCACCTGGAACGCGTATTGTTAAGTCTTAAGACGGACGCGGATCGCAAGAGCGATATTGATGCACAAATGGTAGCTTTTTCGATGGCTGTTAAGGGCACTGTAGACGAGCGGTTGCGAATGCTTTTCAATCTAGCCACGAATGCACCTGCTGGTGAAGCGCTAAAATCAATCGAGGAGGAGAAGAATAATGATACGCGCGAGATGACTCAGGAACAGATGGAGCGTCTACTGCAATTATTACTAGAGACATGCCAGATTCCATCTGAAAAGCGGGTGCTCGCTATCGAAGACGCAAAGTACCCTATTCAAAAGTACAAAGTAGCAACACCATCTGAATTGCTCATGTCGGCAGAGCAAGCCCAGACAAACGACACAAAGATCAAGAAGGAGGAGACACACAATTGTCAAATGTACACATTCGAGGCTTTTTCACAGATCATGCGTGGCAAAATCGTGTGTCTTTGGGGAGAGTGTTTCACTAACTCCAAAAAGAAGATGAGAAGCTAAGCAGCTCTGCTGTGAAACAAATTAGACGAAACATTCATAGTACAGGTCTTAACGTATACTTTACTCAGTGATTCATCTGCTAAACTTCATGTGGTTGAGCTGCATTATTGGATGTGCTTCTATCATATTCATTTCATGCAAAATTGAGGCTACACTGTATCGAAGCTCATGAAATTGCTGAATAGGTACATGTATCTTTCTCGTCCTGCCATCTGATGTCTGTACACGCAAATGGATACGTTGTCCATTGTTGTTGTCCTTTGCAACGCTCCAATTTATATCCTGGATTCCCGGCAAAGGGAATAATGTTGTGCTTTCAACCAATGTGTCCCAATGCATTGCCAGCAGCTGTCGAAATCGCTGCCTAAAAGCATCAGGAAGACTTTGCATAATGCTCAGCTCTTCTTTCAAAAGCGATGCTTGTTTGGTCGTGCTACTTATCATATCAGGCAACAAAAATGTCATATGGTCTCGTGTCGCCGCTTCCAGCAGACGCTGTAGAATCATTGAAAGTGCAACAAAGTCCTGCAGCTCAGCGCTGGATACGTCACAAGTAGCGTGTTCCGCTTCTTGATCTTTCTGGTAGTGCAGAGCGATAGCAAGCTGCATGGCGTTATCTAAGTGGCGAGATACGAAATCTTCCCCAACTTCACCCAACAATACATTCCACTCACGGGCTGCAGCGACAAAGGTTTCCATGTCTTTATCTTACCACTTGTGGAAGTCAAATATAACAATTACAGCTTTAAATTTTTCGGTGATACTGTGACAATTCAAAATAAATACTAACTACTAGAATAGATGACAGGCAAATTTGGTCTCAGTTCCTTTTCATCTATTCTAAGCTTTCTTTGAAGGCAAAGTGGTCATGTCGTTTTTCACGATTGAAACGTTTCAAAAGTACAGCCAAGAAGTTCAAGAATCGATGGCTTCTAAGGTTCAGCTTAATTCTACATCACCAGTGCATAGCATTTCAAAGGCTGATATCAAATTGAATGAAAAGCAACCTCTAAATAAAAAAACAACCACAAGATCTCTTTCTGTCGAAGCTACCAGAAAGCTTGATCCATTGTCATCGCTGAATCTTGCACGTAATGCAAATCCATGGCTTGAAAATTCTCTATTGACCCCGACGGCTTGCAATTATCTTGACCACGCCGAGGATGCTTCGGCTTCTGCTGTAGCTGCAATGTCACTGAAATTGGTCGATGATTACAACACTGAAGAAGATTGGGGTGACTTCGTTAAATCTGGTTCACATGACGAGAATGTTAAGCAACAAGTTATCAGGCGTGAGAGTTTGCTGAGACGTTCGACGCCTGCGTGTGAAGGGTCTCTCAACCAGCTTGACAACTTGAAGTGTGGCGACGGCGAAGACCGCAACATCACGTATGACTGGCCTCATGACCGATCTTCTAGCCCAATGCGGGGTGTAAACTCACCGTCGACGGTAATTCGCAATAATACCCCTACGCACGCTGAATCTAATCTACAGGTGCGTTCCAGTCCGAGAAATGAAGATTCTAAGGGTTTTACTACCACATTGCTGAGCCGGTTGCTCTCACTTGGTAGCTTATCGCCACGTTTTGGTTTTACACATTCTAATTCTAGCCGGGCGATGGAGCGAAATTACGATTCGTACGACGTCACGTTTGATCGTGGACCTGTCGGGTTAAAGCTTGAGACCGATTGGTATGGACGTCAAGCCGTCGTGAAAGGCTTTCGTGCTATCAATGCAATAGGAGATGAAGGTGCAGCGAAACGATGTGGATTAATTCGGGTAGGTGACGTTCTTACCGCCATTAATGGCGAATCGTGTCTCGAGATGGACTTTCAAGAAACTTTGGAATTGCTTCGTCTGGCAGGTAAATCTCGTCACACTCTTCACTTTAAGTCCCTCGAAGCTGCCGGTGACTTGAGCATTTACGCGAGCGACAAAGATCTAGTACAAGCACGAGCGTTTATTCATCAGCACAAACAGCGGTTCTACCGACCTCCAGTTGCTCATAAAAATGCCAACCCACACGAGTTAATACTTGGATGTATTGAGCGACTTCGAGGTGAATTCGTGACAGCATTTAATTTCCACCTTGAGGAAACAGGCGAATTTTTGCTTGCTGCATCCTGTTTAAGTGACGGTTCAGGGCCGTTTATTTTTCACAACTTGCGAGATTCTCATCTGCGTACTATGCGCGACCTCCCTCAAAGTGAAGACTCGGCTGTATACTTGGGTCGTCTTGAGCCAAGCTTTCTTGGCATTGACTTTACACTTTTTGATCATCACACTGGCTCAACGTCGCAGCACAATCATGAACTTGCCTATATTGTCTACGATGCAAACATTCTTGGTCGCATTCCTAATTCGTTAAAATGCATAGTGTCAAGGCCTGTTGACGACGATTATGATGACACTGGTTTTCAAAGTCGTACGAGTATGTCTCTGCATGAGCAGCGTTCTGGAATGGGCAGTGATGGCGCCATCTTTAACACACACCAAGCACGATTAGGGCGCTCTGCAAGTCTTGTTGACCGGTTTAACCGTCAGCAACAGTCGCGTACAATGTCAATCACTGAACGTCTCAGAAGTTTAACTCTGGACGACATTGATTTGCGGCTCGAAATGTTTAGTGATAACGCACACAGCTGGTTGGATGACGATGATGCTGAAGGCCACTCCCGCTCTATGCGAGTGAAGCAGAATCGACTTAGGGGCGAGCGCGCTGCCTCGATGGGACAGATTTCTTACGGTGCTGTAGAGCAGCAGGAATATGAGAAAGATCTGCTCGTATTTAGCACAAAACAGCCTTGGTGGAATGAAGACCTTCGTGCGTGGACGTTAAACTTTCAAGGACGCGCGAAAGTCGCTTCAAAAAAAAATTTCTTGCTGGTTGGGCAGGAGTCAAACGAGAACGAAGACGAGGAACCAGGCATAACATTACGCTTTGGTAAAGTATCGAAAACTCGCTTTTCGCTGGACTACGCAGCTCCTCTCGCTCCCATTCAGGCACTTGCTGTCGCATGTTCTGCATTCGCGAACAAAAGGGCTGTTACGTAGGCAATAATATCCGTACAAATGTCTGCTTGGCCCTCTTTCTTTTTCCACTTAAATTCATTTTATTACTTTCTTCACATAAACAACGGCAGCTCCATCCCTGTAAGCAACAAGCCGTCTGGATTTTTGATAAATTCCCTCACGTCACTTGCTGGGATAAAGGCCACATGGCCAGCAAGTGCCTGTCGCATCTTCCATGATCCAAGTGCCTTCTCGTCGTGCAACAACGAGTCTTCGTCCTCTTTTCTTATGGTAGGGACGATTCCCTCGATAATACCCACACACTGACCCGAGACTGAACTTATTACGGCTCCACCGCACATTCCTTCTTCTAGCAGTTCCTGACTCCACGCAAACTCCTGCCTACTTGTGCTGCGTCCGACAAAGTGTCCCCTTACCGTCTTAGGTATTTGATAACCACCTATATCCTTCTGGTCATTAAACAGTTGTTTGTGGCCTGAAAAGATAAGAGGGTCACCCCGTTCGCACGGCATCTGTTGTAACATCAGAGGTTGCAACTTTAACTCCTGTTCTGCCTGTCGCCAGATCTCAATAGCAGCAGAATCCTTCAGCGACAATAGCGCTAGGTCTCGACTTCCATGCGTCTGGACTTGATGAGCCAGCGGGAGATCCAACAATACTTTTGGTCCTGAATTTGCATTGTCTTCAATCAGCAGCTGAAGTGAATGCCGTACATGATCCTCATTTACGAACTGCAGCCAGTCCCACATTGATGCAAAGTATTTGGGAAACATCCAGGGGCATGCTACGTGGTGAGAGGTGATGATACTTAACGAGGAGTTCATGGAGTTGCGCAAAACTACAGCAGAGCCACTGAGATGGACAGAGTTTAAAGTTTACAGCTATTTATCCATGTGTTCGATACAGACACGAAAGCATCTGATAACGCACCTGCTAAGGTAATCAAGAGTCGTCATGCCCTCATGTGGCAAGCAAAAGCGCGTCGTTATCGACAAAACAGCGGGCCGACTACGTGATGCCATCACCTTGTCAAACAAAAAATTGTCACCTGTGATGGTGTGCGTCCACATCACATTGTTCCCTCTAAAGGGGTGTGTAATCAAATATGATGTACGAACGAAGTTTTATAATTCGTGTTAGAGTGATAGTGCTGCAAAAAATATACGCTTTTCTATTTTTGTGAATAAAATTGTCCTTATGTCACATAACATAGGTCGAAGATTGTAATCTGTTCGCGTAGGTGACGACGCTAAAAGATGCTTTTCGTGGTTGAAGATAGAAACATTCTAACGTTTCCTTTGTACTATCAACTTTAAACAATTGAGATTTCATGTAGCAATCATTTTTGCTATCGTTCGTTCAAGTGTTATCTTACGGGCATTTGTAAGGTAAACCATAAATCTTTTGTGTTGTTTTATTATCAAATTAGATAAAAATTGTATTGAATTGTAAATTTAACAAAATGTACAGAACTTAAACTATAGTTACAAATTTTCAACTTTACGTAAAAATATACGTAAAAAAACAATCTCAGAATAAATGAACTTAAAATCCAACGTTTGCATAATCCGATACGATTAGTGCGGCGGGGCAGCCGTAGCTTTGCGCTAGAGGAAGCGTAAATTAGGTCACCGACCTTTCGTTCTATACTTAGAACAAGTAAGAGTTTAGCGGATCGCAATCCGCTTACTCTAAGAGTAATTACAACCTTAACCCAAGGCTAATAAACGCTTCCGTTTAAATTCAAAACTAGCTTTAATCATTTTTATCTACGGCAAAGCCGTCTGATTTTAGATGCATAGGTTTTCTTAAATATGTATAGTAAAATCTAAATACATGTGTAAGTACTGGCTATCCAGCCCCGTACCGTATTCTTGTTTAGGGGTGGTCATACCATGCCCATCTGGTGTGACACACACCCCTGTTACCAGGGTATGTGTAGCCCCGTTACACTCTCCCCCATTAGGAATGAGAACATTTACAGCTCCAATCGATTATTGCCTCAACGAGGCTTGCGTGTCCGTTAGACTCTGCGTTGGAACGAAACGAATTCCATGCTCAATAAGCCCTGTGTCAATGACACCGAAGTCTACAAGTCTCGCTGATTCCTACAGCGCTTACGGGCAGAGCCCAGCAGCTTCATCTCCCGTCCACGGTGCCATGTCGGACCGTGTCTCCGCGAAATCGAGGGATGTAAATCCTAGGCTCGATGAGTACGAGCATCGCGCTCTGCGCACGCTAACGGTGACGCGTGACCTCGTTGGAGATGTGGAGGTGGTAGACTACGAGTCTGACACCCGTTTTCCCGGTTGGAATGACGAGGAAGGCGAGCCGCAACAGCGGCGTGAGACGAGCCCAGCGCGCGCCTTGGGGACCCCATGTCCGTCTCCTGACTTCTCGGCACCTGAGGAGCGTGGTGTGATCACCAATACCTAGATGAGGCACAGAAGTGGCAGCTGGAAGCTGACCGTAAGGTGGCTCTGGTGCGCGCCCATCCACGGTCGGTCATTGATCCTCGTGTGGAATGTGGCTTCCGCCCGGCGGATCCCGCTGTGGAAGCGAAGTACGTGGTAACTCGATCGTTACGCGTTCACATCATCGGACCCCCGGTCATCGGGGAAGATGAGCTTACTGAACGGAAAGCTTTTCGAGCTCGATTCTTGGTTCCACAAGAATTTCCGTTGGAAGCTTATCGCACTCGTCTGTGTGCTCAACAAGGGGCTCTCGTGTACCCACTATGCAAACTGTACCTGTAGTGCTCGACCCTGGCGAAAGCGCAGATGACGAAGTGCTCTTTGAGCGATGGGTGCATCGGCACCGAGAACTTTCTTCACTGTATGCGTTACAGTTGAGCCGCAAGACACTGGACGTGCGTGTGGAGCGACACCTTCGATTTGAGGTTGCCAAACTCAAGGCACGCCGTCGACCTCCTTCAAATTGTCGCCCTAAGACAAATCGATCAACCCCTAACGCTCCCGCGAGCTCTGTGTCTTCGACCGCAAGAGCTCAGGGCCACCGCTTGAGTTCAGCTAATGGCCCTTCTACTTCCCTGGCTATTGCCGGGAAGCGCGGG